ATTTCGTAAAATAAATAAATAAGATTTTTTTTTCAAATAACATTAAAAAAAATTAATCTTAATAGTTTAAAAAATTTATGCGTTATTATTAATATTAAAAAAATAATAAATAAAAATTCTGTCATCATCATCATCATCCAGATTAACATAAACTTCTCTCAACCTTCTAAAAACAGCACTGAACCGCATATTGTATTAAAAATTAAATTTGTAATTAATTCATTTTAATTTTAAAATTAAGCAATTTTATAAAAATTACTTTAACAAAATATTAAAAAAAAAAAAATTAAGAAATATTTAACTGTTAAGTTTTAAACACTGTAACGCTTAAATAATTGATTAAAATTAGAGAAAATTTCTTTGCAAGGTCGTCTTAATCAAGAAAGAAATTTAAAGAAATTAATTAATTCAGAGTAAAATAATTAAATCGAGAAAAATATTCCATGAAAGCGTTTTCAATTTCCGCCACCAGATGGCAAGAAGCGAAGGCGACGAGCGTAGGCACAACGTGGGTGTTGACTAGAAATGATGTAAACTATAAATATCTGTATAAGGTCAAAAGTTGAGCTTCGTTACTGAATGCCCTTTATGCTAATTATCGCTATTGTTTGTCTTCTTTAAACCGATATTTATCCATTAAAAACAAATTTAAAATGTATATAAGATTTTTCTTTTTTAAGTTTTAGAGAGAAAAGAAGCGGAAATTTTGTATAAATTGGAACATTTCGAAGCTATTCGAGTGCCACAAAACGTGGTGCTTAAGATATTGTGGAGATGAGAACTTTTCATTTACCAAGGATAAAGAATTATCGACCATGTCTGTTTAAATATATATATATAAGTTAGTGAAAGAGAGAAACTAATGATTTATTTATGTAGAAGGAAGTAGAGGAGGAGGAGGAGCTTTAGCTGTCATAAAATCCAAAATGGCAACCGGCCAGGAAGATAAAGAACAAAATAAATAAATAAAAAAATTCCAATTTTGAATCAAATCTACCATCTTTTATTCATCACTATAACAATCTTACCATGTTATTTCTTTAGATTATCAATTATAAATAATCGATACTATTCTGATTATATGAGAAGAATATAGCCTATTCGAAAAAAAAAAAAATTAATACTGTATATATAAAGATTTGAAAAATAATTCTTAAATATATAAGAATTGTAAAAGTCAAGAAAGAGATGTACCATAGAAGAATATGGTTCTTTTCAATCTTGAAAAGTTCGCATGTTCTTTGATAGGAATCAGATTTCTCAACGTATCGTTTTTCCTTTTACAGTATGTAATATTGAATTATATTCGACTTAATATATTGGTTCTATTCTATACTTTAAAATATAAATGGAAAAATAAGAATTTGAATTAAAATTTATTGTTTTGTTTTAAATACGATAAAAATTAAAATGTTTTAATCAATTCACTATAATTTTTTTAAAATTTTATCTTAATCTACCTTACTCCTTTTCGAAAAGAATGTCTAGAAGCGAAGTTTGTATATACGTAATAAATATACAGTTACTTGGAAATATTAAGAGTGGAAATTCACTTTTTGACACGAGTAAATTTTGTTTTGAATATTTTCGTATTTTTTCCTCCATTAATGATAGCTTTAGAACATTAAATTATACATTTTTTGCGTTAATCTAGTTTTAATGTAAAAAAAAGTGTATTAAAAAAAGAAAAAAAAAGCTTCTTTTCATCTTAAATTGAAAATAACTGCAAGTAAAAGATGGTAAAAAAAATAAAAATAAGAAACACTCGATACTAATTTAAGCAGAAACGATATATAAAAAATTTTTTAAAGCATTTTTTTTTTAAATTAGAATTTAAACGAAATTAATAAAATAAAGTTACAAAACCTATCGCATCCGGCTGCAAAAATAGAATTGTGTAGGTTAATTGAAGAGATTTTCGCCAAACAATCGCCTAACGTCCTTGAAATTATTTATTGTTCGTATTAACCGCTTTATTGATTATTTAAAACCCTTTATTTGCCATTAATTTTGATAGGAAATGACTTTTATAAGATTGAACGATCGCGTGAATAGCTTATTTAAATCGCTACATAGGCTATCTGTAACATTCAAAATTAATCACTTATCTCATCTAATTAGTAAAGCGAATCATTCTTAAAATCAATAAAATAATAATAAATTTAAAAAAAGCACAAAATAAAATTTCAATTTTAATTTATAAATAGATTTAATATTGTTATTAACATTAGCATAAAGTTATTAAAATTTCTGGAGAAATATTGAAAATTTGATTATCTCTCTCTCTCTCTTATATTAATTCAAATTAAGTCATATTTTATTATACAGAAAGCTTCTACATTATTGAAATTTCGTCTTTATAAAGAAAAAATAAAATAAAATAAAATAAGAAAAAAATATTGTACGTTTTAAGATTTGCATAAGTAATTTCGAAAGTTAATTATAGTTTCTTTAATGTCTCAATTAGTGGAAAATTTCTAATAGAAAGTCGTACGTTCATTAATTCTAATGTACTGCGGTTTGCATTCAATTAGAGAAACAAATTAATAACAAAAATTGTATAATTAAAAAGAATTGCGATTAATAAAGAATTAAAAGAATAAAATATATATATTTAAAAACTAATGTGTAAAATGTTACCTTTACAAACAAAGAATAATAATAATAATAGTAATAATAATTTAAATATAAAAATAGAAACATGTAATGAGTGCAACCCATTTCTCGACGTGTCGCTTGCAAAATAAATTGTTGAAACTTAAGCTGAAATGTCTTCCATCCTTAAAAAGTATATAAAAGTTTTTATATTATTTTAATGTTTCAGCAGATATAAAGAAAATTTATGTTTTCAGATATACAACAGATAAAATAGGTTGTTGTTTCGACAAAATAAGAAAATTAAGCTATTGGTTTTGCTATTATCTTACAACAGAATGTTAATACTTCACAATATTAAAACATGAGGATATATAGTGTATATATTTTGTTAAAAATTAATTTTACGAATTATTACTTTCTTTGAACGACCTTTTCAAAGAAAATAATTTGAAACACGTTTCTCTCGTGACGTTCTTAATTACTAAAGCAATCTCAAAGATACTATCTGAATGTTCTAATAATTATTTATAAATTAAATTTGAAAAGAATTAAGTTTAACATGTAGTTATATTGAGAAATATAGGCTATCATTTTAGTCTTGGCATCACAAACTGAAATGTTATATTGCACATACATTTGATAATAGCTATATTTTGTATATAATTATGCTTAGTCAAATTAAAAAGCGCAAATTAATGTGTCAATGATCTAAATCGCAATTGCCAAAGTTCAAATTTTACCTTGTTACTACTGAAGTTACGTGTGCGATGCGACATATCGCGTGTCCTTCGAGCCAGTAATTTAATGAAATATTAAATTTTTTAAATACATGCCAATTAAATTGGAGTAACAAAAGTTCCATACATAAAAAAAAATTCTATACAAGTAAACAAATATCTTAATTATGGCCCCTAACGCTTTTTTTTCCTTCAGTAAGTATGAATGAAGAATTTAATAATGTTTAATTTGTAATGATAAGGAATCAAGTAATGATAAATTAAGGTTTTAAATTATACATTAAAAGATTTCGCATGAGTTGGATCAAATTAAAGTTGGGTGAACGGATGATGAAGGAAGAGTTTTAATTCAAATGCAATTATGATGCTTCGGGCCCTCAGTTTAAGAGTTTGCAAATGAATGTTAAATATTTGAAATAAGTAGAAAGTTTGAAATTCAGTACCAAAATTAATCATTAAACCGTTTTAAATTAAGATAGATTTCATTTTAAATATTAAGATAATATTTAATTTGTATATGAAATTCTTTTAAATGTAAAGGAATTTTATTTTTAATTAATTGATTAAAGTTTATTTTTACTAAAATTGTTGAACTACAAGATCACATCACAATAGAAAACTGTGAGATAGATATAATTAGTTATTCATATATTAAATGATTTTTATAAAGTAAATATGTAATATATAAAATAAGATATATATTCATTATTTTATAATGCCCATTTTATTTTTTTGCTTTTATTTATTATAAATGTCTTAATAATTATAAAGATGGTAAAAAAAAT